CCATGCTCGCCGACTCATTCGCAAGAAGCGTGAAGCATTCTTGTGCACATTGCGTGACACTCGTCAGGAGGCGCCTAGTGTTGGACAATGTGCTATCATGAATATATATTTTTGCAATGTCCTTTGCCCATTGTCTTTTAGGTTTTGATAATGACAAAAGGGTGACAAAACATCATCATCATATTGTGCATCAAGGCTAAGAATCAAAGCTACAACAAGTTCATATCCGTCCGTGAAGAAGGGACTTGAGCATCGGTGGAAGGAACGAGACCGAAGAGGTTGTTTCCTTAGTTGGGTAGTGTTTTAGGTCTTAGATTATGTGTTAAAGAGTATGGCATCTCTAAGGTTCATTCCCTTATCATCCTACCTTTAAAACACATTTTTTTTCCAGCAAACTATTCGAATAAATTGAAAACTATTCGAATAAATCCCTTAACTTCTATTCTCACTCAGTTGAATAAATCCAGAACTAGTTGAATAAGTCTTGGTTTTTCAATCTGATTTATTCGAATAAGAACTGGTTTTTCAAGCCACGCGATTGATCCAAACTATTCGAATAGTTCTTGAGTTATTCGAATAAGTCGACAGTTTCAACTACCAAACGGCTAGTTTTTTGAATTCTTTTCATCTCTATCCACTCCCTAACTTCTATAAACAACCCTCTTTTGTGATTATCTTCATAAGAACACTTAGAACACTTTGAAGAACATATCCTTTGAATATCCAAAGAGATTCTACTCAATTCCCTCCTTATATCCAAGCAAGGCAATTGTTTTGATTGCTAAATCATTCCTTGCTTGAGTTTTTCCTCATTGCTTGAGTCTTTGAGAGATATTGCCATATTCTAAAGCACTTCATTGTATTTGCAACAATCTACTCCCTGTTGGGAGAATTACTCGGTACGTTAGGTGGAAGAAATCCTGAGTTTGTGAAATCAAAACTTCGGTGGTAAGATAAGAGGCTTGTGAAATCAAGTTCTCGAGTTGTATTCGGATTGTCAAACTCCGTTAAGTTTGAAAGGTTAGTGAAGGCCTGGGCACGATTGCTTCGGGGACTGGATGTAGGCATTTAGGCCGAACCAGTATATATCGTGTGTGCATTGCTCTTATCCTTCACATTATTTTGTTTGTGGTGCATTGATTTTATTGAATATTTGTGAAGAACGTTTCCGCGCAAAAACTGGTCTTTTGGGCAACACCTCTATTCACCCCCCCTCTAGATTTGTGCGAGGCGTCTAACAAGTGGTATCAGAGCGAGGGATTTTCAAAGCTTTACCGCTGAAAATTTTAAAAGATCATGGCCGGAAGAACATTTCAACCCGGAGTTGCCGAAGGACAATCCACGACAAGGCCACCACTCTTCGACGGCACAAATTATGCTTATTGGAAAGAGAGGATGAAAATATTCATCCAATCAAATGATTATGATTCTTGGTTGGTGATCAAGCATGGAGAGACGATTCCCACGAAGATTGTTGACGGGGTTCTTGTTCCAAAGTTAGAGAACGAATATACCTCAAATGACAAGAAGAAGATGCAACTAAATGCAAGGGCCATCAACTTTTTATATTGTGCTGTGAACCCGGATGACTATCGGAAAATCTCAAGGTGCAAGACGGCCAATGAGATGTGGAACAAATTAGAGGTCACATATGAAGGAACAAGTCAAGTGAAGGACTCAAAGATCGACTTACTCACCCATGAGTATGAGCTTTTCGTGATGATGGAAAATGAAACAATAGATGGCATGTTCGAGAGATTTTCAACTATCGTCTCAAATTTGGATACACTTGGGAAGCATTATGAGGATCATGTTCTCGTTCGAAAAATCCTTCGAAGTCTCACACCGGAATGGAAGTCTACGGTCAATCCTATCAAAGAAGGCCAAGATTACAATACGTTGACATATGATGCACTTCGAGGTAAACTACTCACTTATGAAATGTCTAACTTTTCTAGTGCAGCGGAGATCAAAAGGGATCAAAATCTATCATTCAAAGGAGTTGCACTCAAAGCTTCATCGTCAAAATATGTCGAGACAAGCGGCTCTGGAGAAAGTGACATTCTCGAGTTATTTAATGACTTCTTACAAAATGAGCTTGAGCAATTGAATGAGAGTAGAAAGCCTACTTGCTATGGATGTGGAGAGCGTGGACATATCAAGGGTCATTGCCCTCATCGAAAAATCAAGAAGTCCAAACGTTGAAAGCAATCCAACTCTAGTTCCTCTTCCTCATCCGATGATGAAGTAGCCATTTGTCTTATGGCTCAAAGTGAATCCGAAGAGGTAAGTTCTTCTAACGATCCTTTTAGTTTTGAAGAACTACAAGAAGCATTTGGTGATTTATTTAAAGAATTTAAGAAAGTCTCATATATTGCCAAAGATTTGAAATATAAAATCACCCTTTTGCAAAAGAAAAATATTATTTTGCAAAAAGAAATTGATTCTCTCAAAATTGAAAATAAGACTTTTGAGGAGACTAATTTGAAATTAAATGATTCACCTTGTTCTTCATGTAAGTCTTCTAGTCTTGAGATAGAAGCGCTTAAGAAAGAGGTAGACGATTTGAAATTAGCTATGAAGAAAGTTGAAAATGAATTTAGACTAAAATCTACCTCTAGGATTAAATACTATAGATCACCTAGAAATAAACTAAGTCATTTTAGGAATTCTAAGTTTGATATACAACCTAGAAAGCACATCACACATCCTAGAAACATGAACAACCCTAGTGTTAGGTGTCATTATTGTAATAAAGTAGGACACATCACACCAGTTTGTTACACTAAGTATAGGCACTTGCTTCTAAGTCAAGATAATGTGATGCATCGTTCATATGATTTTTATTATTGCCATAACACCCCTGGACCCAAAAGGCATTGGGTACCAAGATTTGCTTCGTAGATTCATTAAGGAAGGTGTGCTTGAACACTTCGACTTGAGTTGAAGTAGATGCGCCAAGCACATAATTGGGTGAAGCATCAATTAAGGGGGAAGTTGATTCACTTTATTAATTCCAACTAATGTTGATTTATATTTTAGTTGGACAATGTGATATTATTTGTTTGTTTGATATCTATTTGCATGAGCATATATCTTTTTGCCCATCTCTTTTTGATAATGTCAAAAGGGGGAAGATGGTGTAGATATGCATATATTCAGGGGGAATTGTATTTGTGCATATCTTAATG